CGGTCCACATTTTTATACTTTTCAGCATACTTTATTCTTAAGTACTGTTGTTGTTACAAATACTTGCCTGTAGCTTCCCAACTGCCAGCCACACACCAACAACAACGACAGCACAGGTTTTTATGGTGGCTAGACGTGATTGTAGATGCTGTGCAGGTGAGTCCATCTCCCCTGCAGCGGCACCACAGACCACGCCTCGCCACACGCCACAAAACAGTTCTATAGCCTGTATCAGCAAAGCTGGGCAACTACCACATTTAGAAGTGAGATGTCCCTTTAATTATGGAGTTGTTTAACCAACTGAATTCTTAGAGGAAACACAAATATTCCCTCATATTAAATTTTATTATGTATCTCTTCATTCATGACATTCAAAATATTACTTCAGCACTGATAGATCCCAGTGACAGGTTTCCAAAGAAGAACCATAACACAGCCTCAGAGGGTTTTTCACTTTCATTCAGCCAGAGGTGTCCTTCTCTTATTGTGTGCTTCATCGTGTCATGTGAGAAAAGAGGAAAAGAGACAAACTATGCCTGGCTTTAAACAGTTTCTAGCGTGCGCGCGCACACACACACACACACACACACACACACACACACACACACACACACACACACACACACACACACACACACACACACAGGGACCTACATGTGTCTGGCTTGGCTATTTCCACTTCCCTGTGGATCTCTTACTGTCTTGATGGTTTATCTCAATAAAAGGCTTGTTTGCTCGCCCCCTTGGCCCCCAAATAAGCAGCCAAGAAGTGAAATGAAGATCTTTAGATATCTCATAACAGGTCAGTGATCTGAAAGATGAACTGATCTAATATCGAAATCGCAGGCCTTATCTGAGCAAACAAAAGTTTGAATCATTCGCTGTTTTCTGCTGTGTGGTGGTGTGTGTGAGTTATGGAGACTGAAGGAGATTATCCACCATAGCCATTCCTCTAAAGGTCATCAGACTATTTTTTTGTTGTCTACCAGAGCGAGCACACAATCAAAGCTTTATCGACTCTGTAGTTGTGAAAATTTCAAGGTGGCTTCAGTTACTGCTGCTATTGAAATAATGAAATATGAAAACGCAAGCGGGCGAAGGTGGAAAAAAATTCCACTGCCTGCTTATTGTGATTAAACTTCTCTAAGGCTACTTACCACAAAGAACACTTAAAAGCTTATATCAAAGCAGATCGACCCACTTTACTTCATGGTAAGAATTAACTAGGTGCAGCATGAAGTGTAAGTTTGTGGTTTCTCACAGTTCTGTGACACAGTTATTTACAATGGTATTTGCATTCATGCCTGTAACTATGTACGAGGTTTGGTCTTCAGTTTTATCTGAAACCTGCCAGCCTTCACACACAGCTATAATGAAGCTTTGTGGCTGTATCATAAAAAAGAGAACATATCCTTCAGTGTCTGTGGGGATTTGAAGTAATACATCAGAGAACATGTCCTTCTGCTTCCTTTTAGCCATCTGCTAACTAACTAGTTGCTTCATCAAAGTAAGAAACTCTGTTCTCCCTTTCATCTAAAATTTATTTTGTCTGATGCATTTTTTTAAACATCCGATTTCTTAAAAACAACAACAACAACAACACAGTATTAGATTGAATCAGATTGGTTATCCTTTAATCTTTTAATTTACATTTTGTTGTATATGAATCTTGAAAGACTTTTTTTCTGATGGATAAATATTAAAAAGTTTCCTTTTTTTCATGTCTTACAAAAGTAATTCCAAAGGTAAATAGAAAAGCCAAATAAAGTAAAGCTTGCAAGAAAGTAAACAAACTGATTCCAGACAGAAGTTTGTGACCTGCAGTAGTAATTGGATGCTAGTGTGAAGGTGGTGTGATCTTCATATTTTTATCATTTTTCCAGAATAGTTTGAAATTCTGGGACATCGTTATTTTAAAGGTACCACATTGAGCTTTTACACTAAGCAAACACAGGTTTGTTTATTCCTGAGAAAAGCCAATCATAACACTCGTATTTCAAACGTCCTTTGTTTGTATATTGTTATATTTCTTCCTATTTTCCTTTTGGCTGCTCTCTTTAGAGGTCGCCATCATCTACTTGCATCTCATCCTATCGCTAGCATCCTCTTCTGTCACACAAACTCTCTCCATCTCCTCCTTCACTTACATCCATGAACCTTCCCTGAGGTCCGTCCTCTTTCCCTTTTGTTCGACAGCTCCATATTCAACATCCTTTCTCCAATACTTTAAAACGACTAGCTCCAGCCTGCACATGTCCAAATCATCTCTAACTTTGTCTCCAAACTCCTCAACCTCAGATGTCCCTTCGATGTATTCACATCTGTTTCTTCTGCTCACTTCCAATGAAAATCTGTCATCTGTCAACCTGTCCATCACCATTGCAAACAAGTAGAGCTGAGAGAACATCCCTGATGTAATTACGCCCCACCTTGAACCCGTCTGCCACTCTTACCACCGTTTAACAATCACAATAAAAGTATTTAAAACTTCCTTAGATGTTTCAAATTTGTGAAATGTGCACTTTGAGTTGTTACACTCTCTCGTTCTCTTTTATTTCACTGGAGTATTGACATTTTCATTTTTATAGCATGACCTGCTGTTGATAGAGCTGTAACTGAACTGTGTGGCTGCATATATTACAATATCAACAACACCGGGGTCATGGCCTGTATATGAAAGAGAGCCACCTTGATGCTGCCCTCTAGCTTTAAATCCTTTTAAAGCCTGAATTATAAATATCAGTATGTTGGTCTTTTGATGCCCAAACTGATAATATTTGTATGAGAGAGAGTGAAGTGCTAAGCTTAATTAGCAAGCCACAGACAGTATGGAGCCCCACAAAAAGTATATACTTATACAAAATGCAGTTATTAACCCTTTAAGATCGACCATAGAACCAAGTCCGCCAGAGCTTATATTATATTTTTTCATGCTGTGGAGCCATTTTTGGGAGCATTCCAAGTTGCTATACATCAATACAACCATTACAGCCTAAATTTTAATAATATGTCTGCATTAAGTGCATAGTAATTACATAAATTGCAAAAAAGTGCAATAAACTACAAAAAAATGTAAAATCGTTTTTGTTTTTTTAGCATATATTTCTAGTTAGAGAAATTTAAGAGGCTTATCCCTCAAAACTGTAAATACAAAAAAGTTGCACAAAATAGTTTCCCACCACAGGAAATTTATTTTGAGTGTCTTCATAGTTTTATTTTTGAAATACACCAATTTTTATATACTGCAGGAAAAACAAAAATAAATATTATAATGCAAATTTGCAAAAAAGCAGCATATGCATCAAAATAAACTATTTCCAGCAGTGCAATATGAGTCCTAAGCATCCCAGAAACGACACAGAAAGTCATAAAGTCAAACATAACTTTTAAAAACACCAGTATAAGCTCATAAGGCCCTGATGATAAAAAACTAAATTTTCACGAAAATGACGTCACTTCCGGTTTCGGGCAGGTCATGGCGGACATGCGATAGTTCGCGCTGATGGACGTAGGAAGTGTTACAAACAGCTGTTCGGATCGGCAAAGCGTGTTTCTGGAATATTATGTTTTTGTTGCTGCAAGTGCTTTTTATGCAGTTTTTGCAAAGCTATATGTGGAAGGAAACCGTGACCTAGGACAAGCTGATGGCATAAGATGTAAGTACAACTCCTCCGGTTTCATATGCAAAGAATATATGTGTATATATTATATACATATACATATGTGCTTCTAAATTAAGATAAAACTAAACTCTTAGAAACATAATGTCTGGCCAGATACTTAATCTGGATGACAGTACCCTGGTCTCCAGTAACACTGTGAGGAATCTTGGCATTGTTTTCACCAGGATATGTCCTTCAGTGTGCATATCAAGCAAATATGTAGGAGTGCTTGCTGGACTCCTGTAATAGTACATATCTGCTTGGTTACTTGTGGTTCCTAGGGTATTTAAAAGTAGAATAGGAGGCAGAGCCTTCAGCTTTCAGGCCTCTCTTTTGTGGAACCAGCTCCCAGTTTGGATTTGGTAGACAGACATCCTCTCTACTTTTAAGATTATTTTAAATCTTAAAAGTAGTTTAGTTTAAAATGTTACATTTTGACAAAGCATATACTTGGACTCTGAATCCAGGGTCACCTGTCTGTTCTCGGCTGCTTTTTTTCATTCACCATACACACATCTGCATTAATTATTGGTTATTATTAATCTAAAGTTTTCTTACACACCATGTCTTTTGTCCAAATTCCTTTCCTTCATACCCAACAGCAGATGGCTGACTCTCCCTGGTTCTGCTGGAGGTTTCTTCTTCTAAAAGGCAGTTCGCGCTTCCCACTGTCAAATGCTTGCTCACGGGGATCCTTTGATTGTTAGGGTTTCTCTGTGTAATTGTAGGGTCTTTCCCTTACAAAATAAAGTGCCTTAAGGCAACTGCTTTATGATTTGGTGCTATATAAATAAAACAATTAAAGGAGATGAAACACAGCTGAATGAAGCAATTACAGCTGGTGTTCGGTGTTCAGCACTTACCTCTTAATCAAAATGACTATGTCACCAATGATTTTCCAGAACTTTTTGTGTGTTAAAAAAATACACCCTCAACACCCTTTGATATGCGATGAAGGTGTAAATTAGCTGCTGACACCAAAGTCTTTTTTTAAAGGCTGTAAAGTTGCATTTTAACACTGATGTCTTTGACTCACTTTTGGAAACAGCAGGAATTTCTGGATCTGCAGTTTTTGATATTTCCAACATGTTGTAATTTCTCAGCCTCTACTTATCCTTCCTGGGTGGAAGCCAGAGGGCTAAATCGTGGTTGTTTTTTTTTTCCAAATATTAACATTTTACCATGTTTTGTAAGGATTGTGGGGCTAGGTGGACTGGAAATGTAAATTAACTGGCTTAAACAATATTGTGTTTTTGTGTTCAGACCACACAAAGGATTTTACAATACAAGCCACATTCACAACCCAAATGCTCACCCACACACACATTCAGAACTTTATTGATTGCACTGTAAAACCTTTATTTGTCTCACACATCCATACCTACAGCTAATTTAGAATCACCAATCACCTAGCATGTCCGTCTTTGGAAGTAAGCCAATTTTGGTTTTTTGTTGTTGTTTTTTTGTAAACACACCATTCAAATGTTTTTTTTATTTACATACTGGTCTGGATAATTCTGAATTTGGTGAATGCAACCATGCACACAGAAAACCTTTACAATGCCCTTCATTATCACATCATACAATATGCAACTATGTGCTTAGCAAGTTACAAACAGAGCTTTATACCATATGAAGACACATTTTTGGACACTTTAAACAGCCTTGCACTACACAAGGTTTTGATCTGTGTACACGTTCTTTCCTTAAAAGTTGAAATATCAACCAGCTGAAATCCAATCAATATCTACGTATGAATTTACATAACATATAAATCACACAACAAATGGGATTGTTTAGAGTATGTACACACAACTACATTTACAATAATACAATTTGTGAAAACCTAAAAAGGTGTTGGTGTCATCATCTTTATAACAAACTGCACTTAATATAACAAAGCACAAAGTGTATAATAAAAAGTAACTTTTCGGTTGACTCGAAAATCATACAATGATTCTGTTTTACACGTTTCAAGTATCTGAAGAACATGATCGCAGAGTTTTACCAACCTCAACAGGCAATAACACGATAGAAAAGATGCTAAATATCTGAACTTTCTGCGACCAAGCATGTCTTTGAAATGCTGTGGCAACAAAAAGGACCTTTCAGACAAAGCTGTGCTATAGAACAGTAGCCGGTAATTAAAACGAAAAACAACTCACATTTGACCAGCAAAATTAGCGGTAAACTGACTTTTGGTGTTATGCTGTGGGCCTATATCAGATTGAAAGAAATCTGCATTAGAACCAATTCAATTTTGACAAATAAAATTTGTATTTTATGTACATTGTTTAAATCTCCAACCAAAAGAAATCTACCGCTTGTTTCTTCTTCTTTTTTTCTGATCAAAACAGTCACAAAATGCACCCCTGGCCACATGTTTTCACCATTAAGCAACTAAAAAAGCAATGGCTTGTGGTTAAAGGATCAAAGCAAAGCAAAAGCGGGCTCCCTAAATAAAGGAACAATCCTCTCTCCGGGAAGAAATGAAGTGAGCGTGGGCCTGTCAGCGGTGTGGCTGGAAGGCTGCCAGTGCTGTTAGGTGGAGGACATTTCCATGGTGAGTAGGTACATGCACACTTTAGAGTAATAAGGTGATGGAGTGAGATGGAAGCTGAGAGGACTGGGGATGTGCTGCTGGGATCCACCCACGAGGACAGGTTCGGTCCTTTTATTAACGGACAGCCGAGTGAGAGAAACCCACTGTTCTGCAGACGCATGATTTGGGGGGATTTTGTTTACACGACGGCTGAGGGGTTTAGGGAGGGATCTGTGAGTGCCCAGGCAGAGAGAGAGAGAGCGGGGAGAGGGGGGGTCACAACAGAGTCCGTTCTCTTTGAGATGAGTTTCTCTCTTGTTTTCTTTCTGCCTCGCCCTGTTCTGTCAGTCAAAGTCTCCTCAGATTGTGCTCCTCTGTGCAGGAGCCTTTCCTCAAGGTTATGTCGTCCACGGCCATCTCTCCGCTCCTGCCTCGCCCGCGCTCCCCCTTCAGGATCACCTGATGAACAGCAGTAAAATGAGGCACACTGAGGTATTCTTACATAGGAACAGGAACATAAAGTATGAACATTAAATGATGTTAGATGTTTAAATATTTTTACTTTATGAGAGACTCATTTTTTTATATTTATTGTTATACTTACACTTTCCAGGCCTGTGCCCCATAATGTGATCTGGGTGTGTCTCCAGCCATTTCCACCTGTTCGACCCCAGACTGCTGGACTGTACTGCTTTCCCTTCTTCACAAACACTTGGAGCATTCCCACATGGTGACCTGCCAGCTTGTGCCGGAATGACAAGCACAGATTGCCGTCATTCCAGGGAGGGATAAGGGGGAGGACCAGCCGCGCTCCTCGTCCAGTCCTCTTGTTTCCTGCTTCGGGTATCGTTAGGTAGCGTCCACCTGCGGATGCAAGTCACAGATTTTCAGTCAGTGATGACATGGTAATCTAAATTTTCACAAAAAAAAAAAAAGAGTAAAGACTGAGTTGTGTTGATAAGATTAAGCTGCATGAGCTTCCTGTGAGAAGGCTGTACTCTGAAACTACTTAATAAAATAATCAATGTTTGTGGCTTTGCCGTTTTTTTTCTAAATGTCATGTTGTTTATCACCTATATCACCATCAGTCTGTACACAGTGCAGAAAAATATAGAAGCAAGAATCAGGGATTTGGTTTGAATGCACTTCAATTGAGCCAAACAAAGTTGAAAGACAGATCTGAGAGAAAATTTGTTGAAACAGACCAGAAGAACTAAAATGAACACAAAAATGGACAAAACTCTCTTTCCTTTAGCTTTGTTTTTGGGATGCATGTGCATTTTTACTGCCACAGAAACTGGTTTCTATTTCACCATGTATACCATCACACATACCTGTCATTTAAAAACATTTTTATTGGCGTTATTTTCTAGAATCCCGATGCAAACTTCTGATGACAATGTTTCCCTAGTGGTTTCTAGAAAGCCACATTGTGTTTTCCTGTCACTTTATTGCTGTCACTTGAAGAATAGTAAAAAGAAATATACACACCAGCCAATTCAATAGGTACACTTTCGAAACTGCTTGTTAACACAAATATCTAACCAACCAATCAATGGCAGTGACTCAGTGCTTTAAGGCATGTAGACATAGTCAATATGATCTGCTGAAGTTCAAACTGAGGATCAGAATCTGGGTCCAAGGACTTGCTTGTCAGGACTATATGATGAGCAAAGATTTCCTTCACATACTGCTACACTACGCTTGAAAGTGCATTATGGTTTTCTGATAAGGCTCCATCTGTCAACCAGTGGCTGCTACAGTCTGTGATATGTATTGTGCCAATGGAAGCCTTCTCTACAGCACTTAAGGACAAACCTTTCCTTTTCTATCGCACATGGGACCCTTTTTTGGCCCATCTGGACACTCCTTCTGCTCAGAGGTTGAAATCGGGCTTACGGGATTTAGCCTGGCAACAAAGGGACAATTGTTAACCTTTTTCATTGTCTATTACTATTGCTGTTGGGTTTTTCTTTCTACCTCCCAGGTCCTGCTATACATGTAGATGCATCTTTGTCCTGTATATGTATATGCTGGTGACTGCTGTTTTCCTGCTTTGCAATTAAAAGTTCAATAAAAAAAACAAAAAACAAAAACTGAGGATCAGAATGAGGAAGAAATGAGATTTAAGTGATTTTAAACGAGGCATTTCGTTGATGCCATATTTGCTGCTCTTGGCTGCATGTGATTTACTGTACTGGGATATTTCTCCACAACCATCTCTCGGGTTTACAGAGAATGGTCTGAATAAAATCAAAACACATGAGAGTGGCAGTTCTCTGTGTAAAGTAAAGCTCTATTGATGTCATAGATGACATGAGAATGGCCAGACTCAGACGGTATAGCAACTCAAGTCATATCAAAATAACGCAAAGGTCATCTCTGAACGCACAACATGTGGAACATTGAAGTAGATGTACTACAGGAAACCGAGGCTACAATTCCCAAGGGCTCATTCGAATTGGACAATAGAAGACTGGAAAAATGTCGCTTAACTCTCCATTTCTGCTGTGACATTTAGACCAGCGGTCCCCAACCTCGGACTGGTACCGGTCAGTGAGTCGTTTGGTACCGGGCCGCGAGAGTTGAGGCTCAGGTGTGAAATGTATAGTTTTTAGGGTTTTTATTGGTTTTCAGCGTTATTTTGTTATTGTTTTTAATCGTTAACACGGTTTTCCTTGGTCTTTTCACGTGTGTTATGAATAAATCTTCTTTTTTTCGGTACCGGTACTAGTTTTATTTTGTTGTATTTATACACCTTAAAGGCCGGTCCGTGAAAATATTGTCGGGCATAAACCGGTCCATGGCACAAAAAAGGTTGAGGACCGCTGATTTAGACGATAATGTCAGAATTTGGCTGAACATCCATCCATGCTTTCAAACATGAAAGCATGGATGCTGTGTTGTATCAATGGTTCAGGCTCGGTGTGATGGTGTGATGGTCTGAGGGACAGTTTCTGGTAACACCATGAGCCTCAGCCTTCCTGCATATTGTTGCTGACCATGTCTGTGACTACAATGTGCTCATCTTCTAATGTCTTCCAACAGTCAATCAATCAGTCAAGGCTTTATTCACCACGTGCAGGTTGCCCTGCAGTGAAACACGCCATGTCACGAAGCTCAAATGATTTCTGTTTTTTGAACATGACATTGAGTTCACTGTACTCAAATGGCCTCTACAGTCACCTGATCTCGATCCAATAGAGCACCTTTGGGATGTGTTGGAACAAGAGATTCACATCATCGATGTGTAGCCAAAAAACTGTATCAACTGTGCAATGCTGTCATGTTTTTGTAGTGTACTTGTTTTTGTTTTCCTGTAATTGTGGTTAATTTATCATTTAAAACAAACATGGTATATAAACACAACTGATACTTATGTTTCTGTGCATCAAAATCTCCAAAATACATATACAGTATATAGATACTAGACAAACCCTTGACCCATTTATGTTTCTTTCCCTCAAAATACATCTAGTGGCCCTGGCAACTAGATGTATTTTGGAGATTTTAATTTATGCATTAGTTAGTGATAGTTGAGCTACAGTTTTAAAAATTTAAAGGCGATAGAGCCTCTGAGTATTAGCTGATTAATGCTGATGTATTTTGCTTATACAGCATGTATGGCTGGTGTTAACTGCAGGGGGTGTATTAAGTATCTGCAGGCACACAGAAGCTTTCTGCATAAATTATGAGCGCTCTCCAAATCTATGCCAATCCTCTAATGGGCATGAGTGTTTGCCCGTGGCTGTCGATCAAAGTACTTAAAGGGATGAACAGTAAATAATTACATGCTTCATAACACACTGGGGATTTTGCAAAAAACTAGGCAGACACACGCACACATATATGTACAGTATAGCTAAGCGATTATTTAAGTGTTCTGATTAACATTAGTAGCACAGAGAGGTTACTGCAAATTGAAATGTTGTCCATTAAAAGGAATTTCTCTAAGTCAGCACTTAGCTTATGATTAATTCTAAATGATTGGTCAGGGATGTTATAGGTCTGGGGAAAGAAAAAACTTTTATTGCCTTTGTGAAGAAGCTCAGACTTTAGCTGAAATGAGGCCTCATTCGGAATGTCTGAAAACACTAATAACTGCAAGACTAAACAATTTGCCAAAGGAAACCAAACCTAGTTAAACAGTTCCAGTACACTGCACCTTTAAGCCTTCTCACTACCCGTAGAGAGTCCTCTTAACATAATTCACTATGTCTTCTCCTCGTCTGAACCCACAAAGTAACGGTGTTGTATTCCTATTTAATGTGAGCCACAGGTATCCCTGATGGGTCACGTAATCTACTTCTCATTTGCATCGCTTTGCAGAGTGAAGCGCTAATCTCCAGAGGAGACAAACGACTTCCCTGGAGTGATTTCACCTTGACCTGTAATTGAGTAGAAGCTACTTAGATTGCCAGAGTGTGAGTTTGCGCGTGTGAAGCAGCACGGCTCGTGTTATTTCTAGTTCCTGCCAATAAAATAAACACTTTGCCGTATTACAAACGTTTGACTGAGGAGAATCAAGTTGCCCTTCAATTACCTGACGGATCAGGCGTCGTCTCCCAGTGCAGGTCCCCGTCTTTGTCCCTGATCCAGCCACAAAGACCATCATCAAAGGAGCAGCTCAGATACCCCGACTCTGAATAGAAGAAAAAAAACACACACTTTTCAGAGAAGTGGAGGGCGCACACACTTGCACGAGGCGTCAGTCTGCTCTTTGTAATGCTTCACAGTAACCTTGCTTTTTTTTGCCTCTAACTTCCCCAGGAGCGAGAGGACTGGCGAAGCTTCTTCTGATGAACAAGATGATACAATAAAAGCATAAACATTTGTTGTAATGTTGTAATCTCTCTGAAGAGATCTGATGCACTGGAGAAAAATGAATTGGAAATGGAGCTGCACAAATTACGAGCAGAAGTGCATTCATCTATAAAAATAAGAGAAAAATATCATAAATATTTACATGAGCTGCAGGAACTGCTGATGTCATTGTGTTTGTAAGTGAACACAAAGACTACTGTTTGCATGCCTTGCATTGTAATTAAAATACATCGTGGTTACAACACAGCTGTAATATTCAGTGACTGATGATTTCTAAGATCCCAGTGATGATGCCCAGACAATAACATTAAGGCAACACAGGCAAAGCAGCTGCTGTAGCATGCAGGCGCTGCGGTACAAATTGGTTCGATGAAAATAACATCCATCATTTTGTCCCTGAAACAGAATTTCCAAGAAAAAAGAAAAAAAAAATGCCAGTTCATTTTCTGAGCCAATGAAAACGCTCTGTGCCTGTGACACGGCGTATCAAATGATACACCCAAACCACAATAAACACACAACTAAATCATTAGGCAATCTTTGCTGCATACCATTGACATCAATAAATCACATTGAGCAAACATGACAGGAGAAGCCATCTCCTCACAAACGCTTGTTGTTCTGGGAACCTCCTTAATAACTCAAGTATTACGAAGGTTTTGGGCGAAGCTGTGATGTGCTTCAAAATGGTCAATTCATCATTCAAGCAGTCAAGCAATCAAGCTGGCGTAATGCAAAAAGTGGGAAAAGTCTGGCACCGCTTTCTGGGCTGCGAGCCATTATTTAAACCGAAACGACCAGATGTCATGTGTCACCCCCTGGTGAAGGCCCTATCAAAACACATCTGGTCACTGTAATACCTTCACCCTCTGCAGCAGCACTGCGGGAGATGATTGTCAGTTTCATTTTGGTCACGGTAAATGCGGCTCGTCCATCATCATTCGAGCTCAATGAGCAGGGCTCTTGCTGATTGTCTCTGTCAAATGTGTTTTGTTTACCTGGGTCATCCTTGGCTTCGTCTGCCGTGTTGCCGAGCTCAATGTCAAAGTCGATGTCGAGGACTGTGTTGCCACTGGGGTTCCGGGGGACTGAGAGGAAAGAGACAGAGAAACAGAGACAAAGGCTTAGATAAAGGATTAACAAAGGTATTATGTTTGTTCACTAACGTCTGCTTGTGGCTGTTATATCCCTTTGTTTCATTACTCAAAGATTTTACACGGCGAAATCAATGTCATGGCTTAGCACCTCCATAACCAATGCCAGTCACATTTAATAATAGGCAAGACTCCAGAGACTGGAATACCTGAGAAAAACCTGTAGCAACACTAGAGGTCTAATGTGAGTCATAAAGAGGAAAAGGAAGATGGCTCATCTGATGCAACATCTGAGCAAATGTTACGGCTGCACACCTAGCAGCTTCAGTACACGAACCTACACGAGGTACACGGCCTCTCCTTAAATAGCCTCTTTCCTTGTCCGATGGTGTCACCCTGACCAAAATATCACAGACTGAGCCGAGTCATTAAAGGTCAAGTGTGCGCCGGAG